CTTTGATTTGCCTTTTCCATGGATATAGCTCATATATCTTTCCATGTACTTATTTCCAATTCTCATATCTTCTTTTCATAAGTCTATTCAGACCCTTTGTCCACTTTTAAATGGGACTGTCTTTTTACTGAGTCATAATAGTTCTTGATACAACCTGGATCCCAGTCTCTTATCGGATTTATGGCTTGTAAGACTATTATGTATGTTGTCTTTTCATTTTCTTGTTGATGTCATTCAGGGTATAAAAGCATCTAATATTGATGAGATTATTCATAGTTGATGGACATATGAATCTGTGGTCAATATCACTAGAGACAAAAGATAAAGAGAATAAGACATCTTTGTGGGGAGCAACTCGGACTAGACTAAGTTACTGGAATTAAGACTTATTCTATGCATCTGCTCTCCCACGGTATGGCGCTGGGAGAGGAGAAAACAGCTTCTACGCAGCTGCCTCTTGCCAACTTGAGTGCTGACCTCCAGGAGCTGATCCTGCTCCTGATTGGAGGAGAGCAGCGTACTCGGCGTGTGGGCAGCCGAGTTAGGATTGGCGGAGGAGGACTATAAAGGAGGAGAGAGACGGCATGCACCAGGAACATCTAAGGGGAACATCTGAGGGAACACCTGTGCAGCCCCCGAGAGAGCCGGCCGGCGGTGTGCCGCTCCCCTGCGGAAGTGGGGAATGTGGCAGGGGGAACCGCCCTTCCACGGAGGTGGAAGGGTCGGCAGCCAACCCGGGAAGAACCAGCAGCAAACCCGGGGAGGGCCGAGCAGACGAAAGAACAGCACAGGGTCCTGTGTCATTCCTCCACGAAGAGGGGGAGCGACACATCTTAACATAGGATATTGGCAAAGATGAAAATAAGAAAAAATAGGAGCCGGCACTGTGGTGTAGCAGGTTAAGTCTCTATTTGCAGTGCCAGTTGGAGTCCCTGTGGCTCCACTCCCAATCCAGCTCCCTGTGAATTTGACCTGGGAAAGCAATGGAAGATGGCCCAAGTGCTTGGGCCCCTGCACTCACTTGGGAGACCCGGAAGACACTACTGGCTCCTGGCTTCATATTGGCGTAGCTCCAGCCATTGCGGCCATTTGGGGAGTGAACCAGAAGATGGAAGACCTCTCTCTCTATCTCTCACTCTCTCTGTCTGTAACTGTGCCTCTCAAATAAATATATAAATCTTTTAAAAAAGGAAAATAAGAAAAAAAGAAATGAGCAGAACTTTGAGCACTCTTATAAATTCCTGGTGAGAATTTAAATTAGACAAGTTTTCCAGAGACTATTTGGCAGTGTATCTTAAAATCCCTAAAGATTTACATATCCTCTGACTCAACAATTCCACTCTCAGAAATTTAGCACAATGAAAAGCTTAATTTTACAAAAATGGATTTTTTTTATTGTAATTCTGATATAACAATAAATTAGGACAGAAAAGTCTAACAATAGGGTATTGGAGAAATATATTATGGTAAGCCACATAATAACACTGTTGTTATAAATTGATTATTTGGATCAAGGATCACATGGCATCCACAGGGGCAGATACTATGTAGGCAAATGAGTGAAGAGTCTATCTGACATGCTGAAAAGTATATGTTCTGAAGCCAACCAGGAAGTGGGTGTGGTAATAGCTGTGACATGACATGAGGAAAGAGGGTGTCTTTTGTTACCAGAATAGCCAATATTTTTTAAAGAAGCAAAGCAGGAAATTGAATTTTATATAAAATATAACGGTTTTCAAAAGTTGTCTATTGCCTGAAAATTTTTAACAAAGACTTAGTGGACAAATAAAATATATTATGTGTGGACTACATTTAGTTTGAAGACTGAAAGCTTTAGGATGTATATATATTTATTGACACAGAAAGATACCCATGATATATTGTTAAAGTTTTAAAGCTTCTGTTACAAAACCATTTATAAATTATCTCAGTGAAAACATAGGGGAAACATTGAAAGACATTCATCTAGGCAAGACTCCTCGGATAAAACCCCAGAAACACACACAATAAAAGCAAAACCAGACAAAATAGGATTATATCAAGCTAAGAAGCTTCTGCATAGCAAAGGAAACACTAAACAAAGTGAAGAAGCAACCAACAGAATAGGAGAAAATATTTGCAAAGCAAACATCTGATAAGGACCTAATATCTAACATATATAAGGAGATCAAGAAACTTAACAACAAAACAATACAGCTACGAAATAGGAAAAGTACATGAACAAGCATTTTTCAAAGGATAAAATCCAAAAAGATGTATGAAAAATATGAACAGGATCACTAACCATGAGGAAAATGTAAATACAAATCACAATGAGGTTCTACCTCTCCCCAGTTAGAATGGCTATCATTCAAAAGTAAAAAAAATAAAATAAAATAACAAACGCCGGTGAGGATGTGGAGAAAAAGTAGCCCACGATTATAAACTAGAAAAACCATTATAGAAGACAGCATGGAGATTACTCAAAAATTTGAATAGATCTACCATATAACACAGTCATCCCACTCCTGGGAATTTACCCAAAGGAAATGAAATCAACATATGAAACAGTTATCTGTATCCTCGTGTTTACAGCAACTCAGTTCAACAGCTAAGATTTGGAATCAACCCAGATATCCATCAACTGATGACTAGATAAAGAAAATGTGGTATATATGCACAACGGAATATTACTCAGCCATAAAAAGAATGAAATCCTATCTTTAGTAACAATATGGATGCAACTGGAGACCATTATGCTTAGTGAAATAAACCAAAAAGGCAAATATCATATGCTTTCTTTGATTTGTCATAGCTAATTTTAAAGTACAAAAAATGTATGTGAGTGAAATTAACATCTTAAAATTTTATTATCGTTTATAGCCCTTGTCTATACACCTGCAGAACAGTGTTCTTTCTACTTTCTACTTGTTGAATTCTTTATTTAATGGAGAATTTAGCTTGAGACTATAAAGTAAAATTAAAATATATTATCACAAAAGTTGTAAGAAAAAAAAGGAAGCAGGGAGGAATGGGGGGAAAGAGGATGGGTGGGAAGTATCATTATGTGCTTAAAGTCTTACATATGAGATATATGAAATCGGTTCTCTTTATATAAATTTATTTTAAAAGAAAAATAAGAGCTCATTTTGGTTAAAAATTAAAGCATATCCACACATAAATTTAAAACTCTAAACAGTGAAGAGATATAAATCAATATGTTAACAATGAGTGGTTTTAATTTCTTTTACTATATTTCTCTATTTTGTATTTTTACAATGAAAATATTTTATTTTCAAAAAAGATAACATTCTGTATTTTATGGTTATAAAAGAAAAAGTTAACAGTCTGGCTTAAAATTTTGAGAATAAATTTAAAATGAAAATCACCAAATACCCATGCACATAAAATAAAACAGATCTGAGTTCAAAATCAATTCTATTTTATTATCTCCACAGCCTTGGGTTTTATCATTTGTAACATGTTGAGGATAATACCTATCATCTCTGCCTCAATTCCCGTAGATGACACAAAAGTGAATAAATAAAAATAAAATTAATATATAAAACACTATTTTCTTAGCATCATCAAAGACCAAATAGATAGAAGGGAGCTTTTGCTATTGAAATTCAAGGATATATATACTTGTAGAATCAAATAATACAGTGGAACCATAATGAGCAAAAGGCTTTGCTTATTTGTTTTTACTATTCTATACAGAGGCAAGACCATCAGAGGGGCCTTTTTCTTTGCAATCTCTCCACTCTCCAATTCTAAAGCTCCTCTCCATTGCATGTTGCACCCCATGTCTAACAATGATAATGATACCCAATGAAATGCAACAGAGAATGAAGGACAACACTTTGCCAGAAGTAGCATCAGAAGAAGTAGTTTCTCTCTCATGCTTTCAAGAATATTTGAGTGAACCCTAAATGTTAGTGGATCTCTAGAACAAATAGACATGGAAACATAAACAAAAACCACAATGAAGTTTCACCTTATTTAGAATGGTTATCCATCAAAAATCAAAAATTAACAAATGCTGGTGAGAAGTGGAGAAAAGGTACCTTGATATATTGCTGGTGAGAATGTAAACTAGTACAACCATTATGGAAGACAATATGTAAGTAGGTAAGCTACTTCCAAAGATGGGATTTTATACTGAAATAAAAAAAATGCATACATTTTCTTTGAAAAACAATAAGAGAATTTTCTACCCTTTATCATCTCCTCCCAATTATCAATGTCACTGGTGGAGGTATGAATTTGTCTAAGTGGAAATCATGAAGTGAAGACACCTATAAGTAAAACCAAGCAATTTGTTGATGTAAGGCTTGGTTTATTTTTGTCTACCTCACCTCTTTTTCATGCTAATTGGCTTAGATACTTGCATTTTGCTATTCCTTCTACAAACAGGTTAAGTACAACAGAGGGCAAGGAAGTTGTCCAGGGCATTGTATATCATTGGAAAATTGCCTTAAAATGAATTAAGATACTTCCTCCTCATGTATTGTTTTAACCCAGGGAGTAGTTCATCACATCTGCTCCATGGAACTAGCATACCCTTTATATTAGTTCATTTTTGCGTTATTCTAAAGAAATACCTGAGGTAAGCTATATAAAAGAAAAGAGGCAAGTTTAGCTCACAGTTTGGAAGTTCAATGGTGTGGCGCCTGCTCTGGTTTGGCTCTGTGGAGGATCTCATGGCAACACAATGAGGGGAGCACATGAGGGTAGAAGAGATTATAATGTCAGACAGAAAACCAGACTGATTCAGGGGCTGGGCTCATTCTCTCCACCACTAACTCAATGATCTAAGAAACTTTCATGAGGCCCCAACTAAAAGTGCACCCTCCCTCCCAACAAAGCCATCGTAAGGATCAAGCCTGTAACACATGAACTCTTGGCAGACATACTCAGAGTATATTCAAAACCATAGCACTCTTTAGGATACTTCTGATAGATACTTCTGATTTTCATTATCCTTTTTAATTAATTCATAATAAATGAGAACAACGAAGTGTTTTTTCATATTTTTACTCTTTCAGTAATGTGCAACATGAACATGATAGTGTTAAGAAGTCAGAAATAACTTAACACAGTAGCTATAGAAGATGTTTATATTTGCAAAATTTCTACATTTATCTTCTCTACATTCTCCCAAATTAGTATATTTGTTAATAAAATTAATTATGAAGCTTTTCAAAATAAAAGCAATGTTTTAAATAAATATATTCTTTATAACCATAGAACATTTAGTTCTGTTGGAGGTAACAAACATTACACTCAAGTACTTTATGAAGACATTAGGGTAAAAAATTATCTAGATGTAATTATAAACATACCCTAGTTAGTAATCTACTTCACTTGATGAGCATTTTCCTGTATGTGTTAAAATTATATCACACAATTAGGTTACAAATCATCATTAAGATGTTATCTGACCCACAAAATTTATATATACCAGCTCAACATGATGTTATGGTGTTGTTTCAATATGTCTTATTTAAATTTCAATTTAGTCCACTAAATTATATCCAATCCAATCCAATCCAAAACCTTTTAGCTTCACCTGTCTTTTGTAGAAAATGAATGCTAGGATCCCAGTTTGGGAAAATAAGGCCCTCCTACAAATCTTGAAATCACATAATTTGAATATCGTTGTTATATCAAAATCCTACTGATACAGAGTTTTCAGTTTGTGTCAGAGTACTACATAGAGTGGGCACACATTTATTTGTGATCAGCTTTTCCACTAAAATCATATTTGGTAAATGGCTCCAGAAAACTTCCTAAAAATTGATTTTTTAGAATAAATATTTAAAAGAGGTCACTGAAGAAATGACTTCACCAATGTTTCCAGAAATTCTGATCATTTGTTTCATCTTTTAGTTACTTTTATTTCTACTGTGATTCTTAGAAATTTTTCTAATCTATATCTAATCTATCAAAACATCTATGCTTTGATAAATTTGACTTCCTTCAATAATATGCTATGCTAAGATCTCTAAATTAAAGGACAAAGGCAGAGAAGTAAAATTAAACACAGCAACAGATTACATTAAGTGCTCTTTAGAATTTCAGATTAACAAAGTTTTTCCAAAAAGATAATATAAAGGAATAACTTACTAAATGAATAATGCAACACAGAATAGATTTTAACAGGATCTCTCTCTCTCTCTCTCACTCTCTCTCACACACACACACACACACACACACTTCCACAATTCACACAAGTGTATACACACTTACATACATCTAAGAATTGAAAATACTGCTAATAAAGGTTTTAACTTAGATAAATTAACTGCATTAAAATACTGACATTGTGAAAATATCTGTTTATGTCCAATACTCCATACAGAGCATCTTTATGTGAGTTTCTAAAAAATTTAAAGAAAGAAAACAAGACTGAGAAACCAGAGTCCTCAACAAGAGGATGGGTAAATGTGCCAACACTGCCCAGGGTCACAGCTTTCCATTCTCGTCGCCACTTTCCTTCTCCTCAATCGCTTCCAGGCTACGCTTGCTTTTGGTCTCAGCCCCAGTGCTGGGGCCTTTACTCAGTCCACAGGACTGGCACGCCAGCTGAATCTGCTTCATGTTTTCTATAGCTTCATTCTTGGCATTCTTCAATAGATCTCCTTGGCCCTAAAAACAGGTAGAAATAAACAGCAAAGAAGAAAGTTATGAGCCAGGCTTATCCTGAATGTTGTTGCTCTACATCCTTAGTGATATTGCTGAATGAAGAAATGGACCCAGACCTGCAAGCTCGCTTTTTCAGGATTTAAATCAAGGATCTTTCATAGCAGTACTGAGGGATTTTGCTTTTTATTGACACACAAAAATTATACATTTTGTAAGGTATTATGTGATGTTTGTATATGTTTATCCACCACACAAAAACACGATAAACCTACCTCCTCAAACATTTATCATTTCTTTACAGTAAAAACATTAAAAATATTTTATTCTATCCTTTTAAAGAAAAATATATAATACATTATCATACTTATAGCCACTCTACTGTGCAACAGAAGACCAGAATTTCCTATTCATATCTAACTGGAACTTAGTACCTTTTAAATAATCTTCCCATTCCCTCTCTTACCCTGCCCTCCTCCGTCAGTATTTTGCTTTCCACTTCTATGAGTTCACATTGTTCAGATTCCACAGATGCATGAGATCATGTCTTTCTGTGCTTGGCTAGTTTCACTAAACATAATGACCTGTACTTCCGTCCAAATGACAAATTTTTTATGTCCTTTTTTATGTCCGGAGGGCATCAAAAACACAAAAAGTAGCAAATACTGATAAGGATGTGGAAAGAAGGAAACCCTGGTAATGTAAATTAATACAGTCATTGTGGAAGACAGTGTGGCAGTTCATCAAAAAACTAAAAAAAGCACAACTATATGATCCAGCAATCCCACTACTGGTTATGTAGCCAAGGGAAACGAAATCACTTTGTCAGAGACAGCTGCACTGCCACATTTACTGCAGCACTTTTCACAATAACCAAGACATGGAAAGAACCTAAGTGTCTATCAACTGGTGAGTGGATAAATAAAATGTGGGACTCAGCTCTTAAAGTCAAGAACTTCAACCTGAGTCTTGCCAACTGGCTCTGTGGTTGCTGGCTGCCCATTGGGATTCTTGTAGTAAGAAACACTCTTCTCCCACTTCTTCTACTTCTTCTTTTAAGATTCACTTAATTATTTTAAAAGCAGAATGGCAGAGAGGGAGAGACAGACAGAAAGAGATCTTCAATCCACTAGTTTAGTCATCAAATGGCCATAATAACTGGGGCTGGGGCTCACCAAAGCCAGGAACCTCCATCTGGGTCTCCCATATGGGTGGCAGGGCACTGAATGGGAAGCGTAGCAGCCAGGATTCAAACCAGTGCTCTGATACAGGAAACCAGGATCCCAAGTGGCAGGTTAACCTGCTGCGCCACAATGCTGACTTCTGGAACCCTCTCCTTTGTGTACTGAGGGCAATCAACCCATCACTATTCTCTGAGACTGCATACTGCTGCAATTCCTACCCAACCCAGCTCTAGCATTCCTAGACTTGGGTAAACACAATAATGAAGAAAATTTTCCTTAAATAATTGAAAATTAAATCACCCCTCAGTGTATAGGAGCTTACAAAGCCAATCATATTCTATAAAATAAATCACACAACCTTATGCTGGTTTTTAATATATTGGATAATTCTTGAAATCTGCCTATCAATAAATTATTAGTAAATTATTAGTTATCCACATTCCTTCTGTATTTTACATCATGCTGAGGACAATGTCCCCCATATGGCTAATGGAGCCTCCAGACACTTAGCATGTCAATTTAAAAAAAAAAGTGAATGAGAAACCAGGAACACATTAGCTGTCAATTATAGTAGTGTCTTCGATTTTTTCCAATATGTTAGTTCTTGTTTGAGTTCATTATTACAATGATCAAGTGTATGCAGTTCTACTAGCTCAGGTGTTGAAGAACTAAGTATGGAGAAGCAAGAACATGTCGTGTACAGACAAAAGAGCTTCCCTTCTCTCTCTCCTCTGCATCCCCAAGGCAGTACCCAGGAATGTGACTGAAACAGGGACAGAAAAGATGGGAGGGTAAAGGCATCATGCTGATGGATGGCACAATCTTCCACAGTGCAGCAGCTCAGAGGAAGGCTATGACACCTATTTTACACAAGGTCATCCATGATGCTCCACTGTATCTCTTTAGCTTGATACATTATTTTTCATTAGAGTGTATGAGAAAACATGTATTTGAAAACATCTTAGAATATCTCATGTACTTGGCAATTGCACTCTATGTATTAATAGATAAGTCCTTATAATATAAGCCTTTAACTACATGGGATGAATAATTGCGTTTTGCAAATGTTTGTTTTAAAGTAGACTTCTCATACCTCACTCATGGAATCAGTTTAACATTCTCATGAGGAGAAACAAAGTTGAGCCTGCCTATGAGATTAAATGGCGGCCCAAGGTCACAGCCAGTCAATGACTGAGCTGAACTAAAGTTCAGGTCACTGGCCTCCTGGTCCAGTGCTCTATTCCACACAACATGTTTATAAACTAGTCTAAGTCTAGAGATTGGGTACTGAAGCTTATCAGTGAGAAAGTATGTTCTAAGGGAAAAATATTCATCACAGCAGTAGAGTCGGGATGTTTGTTCTTAACAGTATAGATATGATGAACGAATCTACTCTGAAATGGAAAAGTGAAGTCATACCCACTTTGAAAAATACAGTTCTTAAATAACAATAATGCAATGTATAATGTGGTTAGTCTGGGTGATTACTTGCCTTCTGATATATATATGTGTGTGTGTGTGTGTGTATAAGTATATGTATATGTGCATATATATGTATATATATATGTGTGTGTGTATATATGTGTATATATATATATACTCATTCAGTTGTCACTACATTGTTTTTCTTACTCTCAATTTACTGATGGATAAACACAACCTTTCCTGAAAACCACATAGTTGCCAGGCGGAAGAGCTGCAGTTTAAACTCCAGCAGTGGGTTCCTTTACCACTAAATGATATGGCATCCCACAAAGGCAAATCATGCCCTCTCCTTAAAGTGTATTAAATCCTTCTCCTCATTGTTACCAATGGCAACAGCACAGGTAAGAAGAAAGCTAGTATCCACGTGACACAGCCTGACAGAACTTAGACTTGGAGTCTAGAGTCAGGAGGAGAGGCTACAGCAAGGAGACCTGGCAGCAGCAACAGTTACCGTATCTCCTACCAGCTGCTCTCTGGGCCACTTTCTCTTGTGAAAATAAAAAGCCTTTGACCTCCCTCATGGTTCCAAGATTTAAAATATTGAGAAAATATGTTCAGAAGCTATTTCAATTAAATGATATAAGGTGATCTGGAAAACAATTAACATTGTCTACTACTATAATAAACATTTTTATACTGTGTATATTTTAATATAAATGTGACTAATTTGTTTAAAATGCATCTGAGAGATTTTACAGATATACATCTTGCTACTGTTTTCACAAACGGAAAGATTCCTTTAAAAGCAAGCTGTGTTAACAATGAGACTATACCATATTCATTTTCAGAGCATTACTTTTAAGAGTTCCCTATTCATTTAGCTTTGAAATTATCATCAAGCATTTTAAATGCATATCAAAAGCAAAACTGACCTCTTTCTTAGTTGGAAGATAACAATGAGACATATAATAACTTAAACCTTTGACGCCATTGATACATCATGCTCTTAAACCCCCTTTCCCACAGCAGCCTCTAAGGCCTATTTTAATCAGCCAGAATGTCATCTCATGGGTTCTGAGAGGTGGCATCCAAACTTCAATGCCAGACTGTGCCAGTTCTGGTAAATAGAAGCCAGATTCTCTGGAAAACAATGGCCAGTTGGAGAAAACAGTTTGTACCAGTGCACAAGAACATGACTACATCATCCCCTGATAACCCAGGAGACAACAAGTGCTGGCTGCACAATACAGGCAGAAAAAAATTAGCAAATCAGAAATTCAACTATTAATTAATAAAGGAAGCAAAAGTGAAAAACTAAGCTTTTTTTTAAAAGCAATAAAGTTCATCTTTCTGTTCTGTGGTTTAAGGAATCCCATATTGTCTCTCTTTGGGTGCTCTCAATTAAGGCACCAGAACTAGAAAATATTCCTTCGAGGCAAATTCTAGAGTGAAGTTGACTATTAACAACCCGCCTTCTGGCATTCCTTACAATGCTGAGTTTTTCCCGTTTTCTATGCAGCAACTTCTTACAATCCAGTGCAACCTCCCTTCCCTCCCCTCCCTTTCTCTTCTATCAAATCTCCCCCAAACTCTTCTTAACGATCCAGCTTACACAAGATCTCCTCCCTTCAAACATTTCTGTCCTATGCATCATTCCCTCCAAGATGAATTGGGTATTCAGATCAGCTAAGACATTTAAAAGTACTAGTCACTGTACAGTGTGCATTTAGGAGTATTTTAGCAGAGTATTCTGAAGGCTATGCTTTAATTCTGTTCTCAAACAGAAGTCTGAAGGGAGGACGGATAGAGAGAAAAGCCCAGGAGGATTCATTTGATTAGTGCATATGAAGTGAAACATCCCTTGTATGCTAGAATAAATCTGGGATGGCTGTGGAATGGAATGTAAAATTAATGGACAATTTGACCACTGAACACTCAATTTGAAAGAAATGTTAAGCCGCTGTGGCAGTTCTATACTAGCAATCTTAGGAGGTGCTTCAGGAAAACAAAAATGAGGACTGCTTTTTAAACATTTTTATTTATTTCTACTTATTAGGAAGCTGGAGAGACAGAGACACAGAGACAGCTTCTAGTCACTGGTTCACTCCCCTAGTGTCAGCAATAGCCAGGGCTGGGCCAGGCCACAGCCAGGAGTCAAGAACTCCATCTGGATTTCTACACAAATGGCAGGGACCCAAGTTTTTGAGCTATCACCTGATGCCTCCCAAAGTGCATGTTAACAGGTAACTGGAATCAGACTGCTCCAAACATCTGCCCCAGAGAAGGGCTGCTTTAACTCAAAGAAAAGTAAGAGTAACAGACTGATGCACACTGGCGCTGATGGGATGAACAGACTGACTCAGTCCCAAGAGCCATGGCCAGCATTCGGCCTCCATG